AATGTTCACTGACAGCCCAAATTTACCCTTGTTTTTGACAATATGTCCATGTTTAGATGTCTATTAGACATATTAGATTTTTCACTGAAAGCCCAAATTTAACCAAGATGTCTATGTTTAGATGTATATTAGATGTGTATTAGATTTTTCACTGACAGCCCAAGTTTCACATTTTTAAGGCAATGAGTCTGTGTTTACGTAGATGTCTATTAGATCTTCACTGACAGCCAAAATTGCGACTTTTTTTTAGCCAAGATGTCTATTAGACGTCTATTAGACTTCATTTAAAAACAAATAATACTTGCTGGGTCATAAACTAATATGTGCTTTTCAGCGACATTTATCTTGAGAATACCACAATAAAAATTCAGTCACATCTGTGTATTTAATGACTAGTCTAGTTTTGGGCTGTTGGATGTCTATTAGATGTCTATTAGATGACAACCCAAATTTAGCCTTCCTTTTAAACAAGACATTTATGTTTGGATGTCTATTAGATGTCTATTAAATGTTGACTGACAGCCCAAATTTAGCCTTGTTTTAAACAATACGTCAATGTTTAGGTGTTTATCAGAGGTTTTTTTGGATTTTCACAGACAGCTCAAATTCAGACTCTTTTAACCAAGACATCTATGTTTAGATGTCTATTAGACGTCCATTAGATTTTCCTCTGAGAGCCCAAATTTAGCCTTTTTTAGCCAAGATGTCTGTATTTAGATGTTAATTAGACATTCACTGACAGCTTTTTTTAAAATAAGACATCAATTAGATGTCTTTTAGACATCTTTCAGATTTTCACCGACAGCCATAATTTAGACTTTTTTTTTTTACCCAATATGTCTATTAGACGTCTGTTAGACTTCATTTAAAAACCAAAAATGCTAACTGGGTCAAACTAATATGTGCTTTTCAGCGACATTTATCTTGAAAATACCACAATAAAAATTCAGTCACATCTGTGTATTTGATGACTAGTCTAGTTTTCGGCTTTTCTTGGATGTCTATTAGATGACAGCTTAAATTTGGCCTCTTATTTGACAAGACACCTATGTTTGGATGTCTAGCAGACATCTATTAGATGCAACATTGCTTGGTGGGAGGCCTCTTTTATAAAGTATTCACACTATTAACAATAAATAAGACTTTTAGCTCAGTAAAGTATTAAATATAAGTGCTAATAAACAGTTAAAATCTTAATAATAATCAGAAAATAAGCCAGTATAGTTAATGGTGTGAATTGTTATTTAAACTAAAGCGTTACCTTTTATATAGTGACTTATAGCCTAGCAAATACTTTAGTGATTTTGAACTATAATAAAGTAAAGTACTTGATCTATCTTAATATTTTATACTAAAAAGTACAAACATATATTGAAAAGGTGACACCCTTGGGTTAACTTTGGGCTAATATTTGACAAAATATACCATATTTGACCCAAAATTGGTTTAATACAACCCAGTGTTTGTTTTTTTTAATAATATAATGTTTCAGTAAATCATTTCAATAGTTAAAAGATAATTTTGTGACTTTGTGCTGTCCTCTAAGTCCCAGCAGAGTTGGCAATACATCAGATTTGTATATACAACATGTGAACGTGGTATTTTTACCTCTAGCAGGCTTGTTCCTGCAGGGTTTCACCTGTTTAACGTGTTAAGATGAGGTGTGACTGTGTGCCGGGAGGAAAGTACAGCTGGATTACGCTGAACTAGTTTAACCTGCTGAGCGACGGTTGGTGATATATGCTGGGGTTTAGCTTGAAGATCAGCTTTCAAATGCAGATCTGGATTGTTCAGAACAGTTCGAGACAGAATTATTAGCCCTCCTCTATATTTTCCCCCAATTTCTGTTTAACAGAAGATCATTTAACACAATTTTAAACATAATAGCTTTAATAACTCATTGATTTCATAAATTTTGGCCATGATGACCGCACATATTATTTGACAAGATGTTTGTCAAGATGCTATATTCAGCTTAAAGTGACATTAAAAGGCTTAACTGGGTTAATTAAGCCAGGGGTTTTCAAACTGGGGTCCGCAAGAGAGCGCTAGGGGGTCTGCGAAAAACTTGGCAGAAACAAAAAATGCTTTACAAGATATTTGTTTTCCAATCCTAAAATTATTAATAACTATAAAGTATTAATCTATATATAGTTTTATGGTTTATGTAAGTGGATACTTAATTGTAATGCGTTTATCCCAAAATCCATTGCTCTCTTTAAGGTTTTGCATACAGCTGAATGGAGCAATTAGCTGTTGTAAGACCAGTACAGATGATGACAAGATTTTTTAAGAATCCCGCTCCTGCGAGCAGTTCATGCAAATCTGACTTGGCGAGCGTTAAGGCAAAAACCAGAAAATATGACAAGTTTTACATTGTGTTTGGTTTTACCTGCATGCAGGGCCGGAGCAAGCTGAACTGCCGCTCTAGGCAAAGGACGGTCACGCGCCCTCAACCCCAACCCTCTTTATTCTGCCGCAATAGACGCAGATTTAACGGAGGGCGCGGGTGGTGAAGGTAGTGTCGGGGACGCCGCCCTCTCTATTCTGCCACCCTAGACGCGGATATAACTAAGGGCGCGGGTGGTGAGGGTAGTGTCGGGGACGCCGCCCTCTCTATTCTGCCACCCTAGACGCAGATATAACTAAGGGTGCGGGTGGTGAGGGTAGTGTCGGGGATGCCGCCCTCTCTATTCTGCCACCCTAGACGCGGATACAACTAAGGGCGCGGGTGGTGAGGGTAGTGTCGGGGACGCCGCCCTCTCTATTCTGCCACCCTAGACGCGGATACAACTAAGGGCGCGGGTGGTGAGGGTAGTGTCGGGGACGCCGCCCTCTCTATTCTGCCACCCTAGACGCGGATATAACTAAGGGCGCGGGTGGTGAGGGTAGTGTCGGGGACGACGCCCTCTCTATTCTGCCACCCTAGACGCGGATATAACTAAGGGTGCGGGTGGTGAGGGTAGTGTCGGGGACGCCGCCCTCTCTATTCTGCCACCCTAGACGCGGATATAACTTAGGGCGCGGGTGGTGAGGGTAGTGTCGGGGAGGCCGCCCTCTCTATTCTGCCACCCTAGACGCAGATATAACTAAGGGCGCGGATGGTGAAGGTAGTGTCGGGGACGACGCCCTCTCTATTCTGCCACCCTAGACGCGGATATAACTAAGGGCGCGGGTGGTGAGGGTAGCGTCTGGGACGTCACCCTCTCTATTCTGCTGCCCTAGGCGGCTGCCTAGGTCGCCTCTATGGACGCGTTGGCCCTGCCTGCATGTTAAAGCAGGGAGTCGATAGACCCCAGTGTGTTCTTTGTCAAGAGATTCACTCTAAAGAATGCATAAAACCATCCAAGCTCAAGCGCCATCAACAGCAGAAACGTCCCAATGAGGCAGAAAAATCAACTGACTATTTCAAACATCAGGCGTTGTGTTTGGCTTGACAGGCTAGTATTTGTCGGCAGCATGCATTAGTCCCTGAGAGGTGTTAAAACTGTCATATTTGGCATCACTCCACATTGCGCGTGCTAAGAAGCCGCACACAGTTGGCGAAGCATTGTTATTACCAGCTACCAACGAC